GGAAGAAGCAGGCTTCCCACCGAGCAGGGAGCCAGATGAGAGGCTCGATCCCAGGACCCTGGGATCATGACCTGAGCCGAAGGCAGACGCTTAACGACTGAGCCACCCAGGTGCCCCTCAAAGAAAAGACTTTAAATGAAGCTTACATATTATTATACACAACTGGAGATTATAATTAGTAAAATGAGACTGACCTTATCACTGAAAATAACCAAAGGATACCAAAGAGTGATCAAAACAATTATAGAGACTGCACAAGTTTTTATTCAGGGCAACAAAAAAATTAGCCCATACAGAGCGTTGAAGTAGAAATTATGAAAAAAATTTTATTTTGCTTGCTTCCTATGGAGTCCTGCTTATTTCAAAGTGCTAGTTATAAGTTGATTTGGTTTTCCAGGTACGCATTCATATCATCTGCAAAATGATTATCTTATATCCTCTTTTCTAATTTTTAAAACTAAGTGCTTTGTTAGTGTCTAAGTGCTTTGGTTAATACCAACGCAACAATGTTATTTAACACTGGTGATGGTGTATATTCTTGTCTTTTTTCTGATTTTACTAGGAATGCTTCAAATATTTCCTGATTAAACATTAGGTTAAAAAAGGCACAGGGGGGCGGTGCCAGGCTGGCTTAGTCGGTAGAGCATGAAACTCTTTTTTTTTTTTTTTAAGATTTTATTTATTTATTTGAGAGAGAGAGACACAGTGAGAGAGGGAACACAAGCAGGGGTAGAGGGAGAGGGATAGGCAGGCTTCCCGCAGAGCAGGGAGCCCAATGTGGGGTTCGATCCCAGGACCCTGAGATCATGACCCGAGCTGAAGGCAGATGTTCAATGACTGAGCCACCCAGGCGCCCCTAGAGCATGAAACTCTTGATTTTGGGGTTTGCAGGTTCAAGCCCTATGTTAGATGTAGAGATTACTTAAAAATAAAATCTTTTAAAAAAACCCCAAACATTTTATTAGCTTCTGAGAACAAAATTCAATGAATTCCTTTTATCTTCTACTATACTAACCCCCTAGCATTATTCCCGTTAATATTGGGCAACAATCTTCACTACAGAAATGGCAAGTGTAATTAGAGGCTGATGGGAGAGGAGAACCAGATACTCTGGGTTTTGGCACAGGAGAATAGATTGGAAATACTCAGACATCTTCTAAAAAAACTCAGAAAGGTCTTAAGCTGAATAGATTTAGGGTGACTGATTCTTAATGTGATTTCCTTTGCCTCTGTACCAAACACCCACATTTAAAAAATTGAGAGTAGACCCACCTAGTGTATCAACTCTAAAAACCAAAAAGATTAAGAGACAAAAAGGGTAACGATAAGAAATTCTAATCTATGTTTAATTAGAGCCTGAGAAGGGAGAGGAGAGAGAGAAAATAAGGCAGAGGAAATCTTTGAAGATGGCTGAGGATTTCCCTAAACTAATAAAAAACACCCATCTACAAATTCAAAAAAACTCTACAAATCCCAAGAAGATAAAATTTTTAAAAGGCACACTTAGACACATTATACTAAAATGACAGAAAACCAAAAACTGGGAGAAAGTCTTAAAAACAGCCACAGGAAAAAAAGCCAAAATACCTTTAAAGGAGAGCGAAGCTAGAATCAAGACTGTGATACTGTTATAGAACAACAGAACAAAGAGCTCATAAACATACCCCACGTACATACAGACACTGGATTTATATATATTTGGATATATATGAAATGGGAACATAGTGGATTAATATACGGTACTGAGAAAGCTAGGGAGGAATTCATAAGTGGGAAAAACCTTGGGCCCAGCCCCAATTTACATCATACACAAAAGCCAGTTAGTTAGAGGAGGATTAAATAGGTGGATTAAATATATAAATGGGAAAGGCAAAACTTTTCTATTTTAAGATTTTATTTTTAAGTAATCTCTACACCCAATGTGGGGCTTGAACTCATAATCCTGAGATCAAAAGTCACATGCTCCACCAACTGGGCCAGCGAGAACCCCAAAAAGCAAAACTTATAGCTTTACGCATAAATATAGAAGAATATTTGTATAACCTTGGGACAGGAAAGGATTTTTTTTTAAGATTTTTATTTATTTGACAGAGAGAGACACAGCAAGAGAGGGAACACAAGCAGGGGGAGAGGGAGAGGGAGAAGCAGGCTTCCCGCTGAGCAGGGAACCTGATGCGGGGCTTGATCCCAGGACCCTGGGATCACGACCTGAGCCGAAGGCAGACGCCTAACCATCTGAGACACCCAGGCGCCTCGAAAGGATTTTTTTGTTTTAAGATTTTATTTATTTATTTGAGAGAGAGAGAGCGCGCATGAGCAGGGGGAGGAGCAGAGGGAGAGGGAGAAGCAGACTCCCCACTGAGCAGGGAACCTGACATGGGGCTCAATCCCAGGACTCCAGGATCACAACCTGAGCCAAAGGCAGACGCCCAAATGACCGAGCCATCCAGGTGCCCTGGAAAGTATTTCTTGAAATACAAAAAGGACCATCCATAATGAAAAAAAATAATTGATAACTTTGTGTTAAAGTTAGGATTTCTATTCATAAAACTACCTTAAAGGAAATGATATAACAATCTAAACAGTAGAAAAATATCAACGAAGGATCCACATCCAGATTATATAAAGAACTATGAATCAACAAGAGATAATCCAGGGGCAAAAAAGTAAAAGATTTGAACAGGCAGGTCACAAAAGAAGAAACCCTAATAACCAATAAATATATGAAATGGTGTTCAATCTCATTATTAATCATGAAGTCCAATTTCAAATCTGTGTGTGTGTGTTTGTATAAATATTTCAAGATTTCAAAGTCTGACACAACTGACCTGAAAAAAAGGAGAGAACATAACTCATTCATACAAAGAAATATGTATTTATTTTTATTTTTATTTATTTATTTGAGAGAGAGAGAATGAAAGACAGAGCATGAGAGAGGGGAGGGTCAGAGGGAGAAGCAGACTCCCTGCGGAGCAGGAAGCCCGATGTGGGACTCGATCCCAGGACTCCAGGATCATGACCTGAGCTGAAGGCAGCTGCTTAACCAACTGAGACACCCAGGCGCCCCAAGAAATATGTATCTTTGAAAAATGGTATCTACAAAGACCATCTGACAACACAGGAGAACAATACTTTTTAGTGAAAATGTAGGACATTATATGATAAATGAAGTATAAATTGATTTTGGAAAAATATTAAAAATTAATCAAGGGGCGCCTCGTGGCTCAGGCGGTTAAGTGTGTGCCTTCAGCTCAGGTTATAATCCTATGGTCCTGGGATCAAGCCCCGCATTGGGCTCTCTGCTCAGCAGGGGAGCCTGCTTCTCCCTCTCCCTCTGCTTTGTGTGCTCTCTCTCTCTCACTCTTTCTCTCAAATAAATAAAATCTTTAAAAAAAATTAATCAAAATATTAACATTAGTTATTTTTGAGTGATCACATTTTATTTTTTCTTGGTAATTCTGTTTCTGAAATCTCTAAAATAATCGTGATTTTATTTTATTATGTTATGATGTTATGTTTGTTATGTTATGTTGACTCCATGCCCAGCACAGAGCCCAATGTGGGGCTTGAACTCAGGATCCTGAGATCAAGACCTGAGCCTAGATCAAGAGTCAGTCCCTTAACTGACTGGGCCACCCAGGCGCCCCATGTTTTCATTTTAAAATCTTCACAATTGCATGTGAAAAGAAGAAAACTCAACAAAACAGAAGTGGAGCCATTTTCCAAATAAGTGAACAATAGGTACATGGGTGCTGTTGGGCTTTAAAACCAGCCAGGCAGGACTATCCTTCCCTCTAATAGGGAAATTATAAGGACCTACAATTAAATGGCATATCGTTATTAAGCATTTAATTTTCAAAAGAAAGAAAGCAAAGAGAAAACCCCAACACACCTTGGACATTGCTTGTAGAAGTTCATTGTGCATTCTTTCCTTCTCTTCTGCACCTGGAGAAGAGCAGAAATGGGGAGAGGAAAAAGTAATTGCAAAACACCACGTTTTCCTTTTTCCCCCAAACTGGTCTGGTCAGAAGTCACCTCCCGTCCCAATCCCAGTCCCAGCCCCCATCACACCAGGGAATGGAGATCAGAGAATGGGGCATCCTGCCTAATCCGTGTGTCAGGAAAAAGCTGAGGTCACTGCTGTCAAGGGACTATAATCTAACCAAATTTCACAGAGGTCCCCTGGGGACAAAGTTCTAGAGTTACAATCTTACATATGACAGGAACCCCATGCCCAGACATATAGTGCCCCATACCTTGAGCACGGTCATACTGAAACCAATGCGACAAGCACTCCACACGAGCACACTCAAGAGCTACACAGTTATAATCACATACCCACCACCAAACACCTACAGTTAGTTACTCTCGTACAGTCGCAGGTACCCCCCACAGTGTCGTGGGGTCACAATAGCCATAGGGACACACGCTGACACAACCCCACAATGATAGGCAACCTATATCCGCACACAGGTCTCAATGTCACAATCTCTCTCACACACAATCTCACAACCTCCCCTTTGCAGGCTGCTCCGCCCGCACCGGCCGGATGACCCAGCTCGGTACCTATATCCGGGCTCCTCGATTTACCCCTTTCGAGTCTCCCGGCGTCGCAACGTGCACAACTGAGCCGGTTCCCCCGGGACCGACGGACTCACCTCACGGATCTAACGGTCCCGCCAGGCGTGACGAAACATTCGCGTTCCTGCGAGAAGAGCGACGGGCCACCGAGCCCTCTGGGAAATGTGGTCCAGAGAGGCACCCGGGGCCAATTCCTCTCAGAGCCCTGCCTGGACCCTCCCGAAACGACTGTAACTGCAATTCTCAGCGTCTAGCCAGGTCTCAGGTTCGCGAGGCACGGTAGGTGGGCATCGTCCAGCCGGGCCTTCGCCGCGGGACTGACGCAGCCCCTTCCCCACGCAGGAAACGCAGACAGCTTTCTGGCCGGAAGTTGAATCGGGCCGCGAAGCCTTCTGGGCGGTGTTGTTGTGCTCAGGAACGTCCGTTGGGAGGCGGGCGCGAAGGGATGCTTCGGCGTTACCGGCCCCTGGCCTGGGTCTTTCTGTGGGTCACCTTCACCCATTCTCCCAGAAACCGCGCGCTGAATGCGCATTCGGGCGTTTCCGGCAGGTGACGCTACCGCGTCCCCGCGGCGGGGCATGGGGGAGGGGCTTGAGCTCTCTGGGCTGCACAGCCGTGCTGCTGATGGGGCGGAGCCTCTGAGGAGGCCCGACGAGTCTGGAGTGGCCGCGGTGCAAAATGCTCAGGGTGGGAATAAGCTGCTGGAGAGTGGTTGGAATTACTGGACCAAAAAACTGTGGTGGGAGTCAGTGTGTGTGTGACGGTAGAGATGTGTCTGATTGCGTGTGAGGGTGATAGACTAATTGTGATGGGCTGTGTGATTGTGGTGTGTTGTGTTGCGGTGATGTTTGTGGTCGCCTGTGGTTGTATGGTGTTTGTATGTTTGTCGTGAAAGTTCTATGGTTAGGTATTTGTAATATGTGTAGTGGTTTTTGTCTTGAGTTGACTTCTGTATAGTGTTTGTCATACTTGATAACTGCTTGGGAAAAAAATCTGTATAAAATTTTGTTTTTTGTTTTAAGCAGTCCTCTCTGCCCTTTGGCCACTCTTTAGTCTCCTTTCCTTACTTTTTTTTACCCCTAGAAGTTCTTGGTTCTCTTCTGTTGCTTTCTAGTTTTCCTGTCGATCTTTTCCAGATTCATCATCTCAATATCATATGGCACACATCTTTTATCATGTGTATTACTTAGCTATTGCCAGGATAGTAATGCTGCCCTAACAAACTACTCCTAAGTCAGTGGCATATAACAGCAAGCATTTATTCTCATGTTCACCTGTTCCCTGGTTCTCTGTTCAGCTTATTTAGGCTGGGGTTGACTGAGTAGCTAGCCTGCAGGATGGATTTAGAGCTGCTCCTCCACAGGTGTTCTTTCTGCTAATCAGGCTAAGAAGACAGTGGTTACCAGGACCTGTTCTCATCATGGATCACCAGAACACAAGACAGACCGTACAAACACCTTAAAAACCTCTGCTCCTCAGTGTACTAATAATACATTACCCAACGCAAGCCACATGGCAAAGCTTAATGTTAATTACACCCAAGTGGGAGGACAAGGCAAAGTTAATGGCAAAGATGTGACCATTAGAGGGTAGTGAAGAATTGGGACCAAGATTTCAATCTACCACATTAGGAAACATGCCTCTTTATCCTGGTGAACACCTTTTTGTCCAAGTTCTCTTTTGTCTGATAATATTCCTTTTCAGGGTTTGTTATTGTTTTATCCAGGAATTTCATTTTCCAACCCCTTCTTTTTATGTTTTTATGCTTCAGGTCTCTTATAAAGAGTATATTGCTGGGCTTTTTACCCTTTTATCCTGTTTGAATGTTATTTTAATAGGTGAGTTTAATTCATTTACATTTATTGGGATTGCTGATATAAATTTGTTTTCTATTTACTGTGGCTTTTTTATTGTGCAGTTTTAGCTTATTCCCCTTTCTTTCTCCACTGCTTTGGTTTCTGTTCTTTTCCTTGAATTTTTAACATGCATACTTAATAAAACCCCAACACTTGAACTCCAAACTACCCACCTATTTCTATGTTATTCTTGTCTAATATATTACTTTCTTCTGATTTTAAATTCCCCAGATTAGTAGAATTCATTTGTTAAGTGTGTATGTATATATATATATATGCATCTTTTGTACATATATAAATGTGTATGTGTCTTTTCATACATATGTGTATATGTGTTATATGTATATATACTTTTTAATTATGATAAAATAGAGATAACAATGTACGACATAAAATTTACCATGATAATATCTGAACCCCCATTTTCATTGCAGTATTATTTACAATAGCCAAGATAGGGAAACATTCATCAACAGATGAATGGATAAAGAAAATGTGATATTATATGTACAATGGAATATTATTCAAAGAAGGAAAGCCTGCCATTTGTGACAACATGGGTGAACCTGAAGAACATTATGCTATGTGAAATAAGCTAGTCACAGAACAAATACTACATGATTCAATTTGTTTGATGTATATAAAATAGATTCAAGAAGCACAAGAATAGAATAATGATTGCCAGAGCCTGGGAGTCGAGGGAAATGGGAAATTGTTTTTCCATGGCTACAAAATTTATGTTATGCAAGATGAGTAAGTTCTAGGATCTATACAGCACAGAACCTATATTAATAATACAGTATTATGCACTTTGTTAAGAGTATAGATCTTGTGTTAATTGTTCTTACCAAAGAAATAAAACACAAAAGAACACAAGGAGATTTTGGGGGGTGATGGATATGTTTAGTACCTTGGTTATGGAATTGGTATCATGAATATATGTGTATGCCCAAACTCATCAGGATGTATACATTAAATATGTGCAATTTTTGGTACATTAATTATACCTCGATAAAGCTAAAAGCACAAAAACATTTAACATTTTAATCATTTTTAAGTGTAGAGTTCAGTGGCATTATCTTCATATTGCTATATCACTGTCACTACCATCTAGCCATAGAACTCTTTTCATCTTGCAAAACAGAAACTTTTTACCCATTGAACAATAACTCCCCATTCCTTGGATCTCCCAGTCCCAGCAGCTTCCATTCTACTTTCTGTCTATATGAATTTGACACATACCTCATATAAGTTGGATCACACAGTACTTGTGGGTTTTTTTGTGACTGGTTTATTTAACTTAGCATAAGGTCTTCAAGGTTCATCCATGTTAAAGCATGTGTCATGTCCTTCCTTTTTAAGGCTAAATAATATTGTATGTATACGCCACATTTTGTTTATCCATTTATCTGTCAATGCACACTTGGGTTGCTTCTACCTTTTGACTATTGCAGATAATGCTGCTATAAATATGGGCATACAAATAATTTGTTCAAGTCCCTGCTTTCAGTTTTTTTGGGTATGTACCCAGAAGTGGAATTTTTGGATCATATGGTAATTCTGTTTTTCATTTTTTGACTGCCATACTGTTTTCCATAGTGGCTACATCATTTTAATCAACATATTTTTTTGAGCACCTACCATCAATGGCAAAGAGAGATTTAAAATATACCTGTTTTCATGGCATTTATATGAGGGGGTACACAGACAATGTGTATGGTAAATAAATTATATAGTTTGTTAGTGATAATTACCATAGAGGAAAAAAACAGAAATTCTGTGAGGGATATTAGGAATATCTCAAAATTTATTACAATTGAATATTTCTGTTTTATTCTGTTCTATCATACAGTGAAAGTATTAGTCTATTCTCTTGTATAGTATTTTTTTTACTCTTTACCTAGTAAAGCCTCAAAGCATATGATAAGTTAATATTTCTTAGCCATTTTATTCATCCAATATCATTGTGATGGGAGTATAATTCTCATTTCAGATGAAGAGTATGGGAATTCTGAATTGCAAATGTGTTTTACCTCAATTGCCGAGATAGATAGGAAATGGAATAGCTGTAACTCTTACTCCAAACCTGGGGTTGCTGCAAATTTTTTTTAATTTTTTTATTGTTATGTTAATCACCATATATTACGGTTGCTGCAAATTTGAATCTTTTTTGACTCAACTTTGTATCTGCTGCAAATCTGAATCTTTTTTGACTCAGCTTTGTATCTGTTGATTCAACTTTGCACTGGGCTACACCTTTATGCTCACAGAAGATACTTGAAGAGCAGATATTATGTGAACATCACTGCTGTGATTACCTTGTTTCTAGAGTCTTGACGTTTTCTCGAGTGCTTGGTTCAACCTAGGTTGCTGAGTCTTTGAATTTTCCGCCAGATTCTTTCTGTCTTTGCATCCAGCATCTCTGGTCAGTAACCCCAGGGAATGTGAATTACAAGCAAGGAAGCTAATTGTTTGGGACTGTATTAGTTATCTACTACTGTGTAACAAATTACCTCAAAATTCAGTAGCTTAAACAACAATAAACATTTATTATCTTATACTCTGTGAGGGGCGGGAAACAACTTAGCTGGATACTCTGGCCCACATATTTCATGAAGTTGCAGTCAAGATGTTGACAAAGCTGCAGTCATTGGAAGGCTAGACAGGCTGGAGGATTTGCTTCCTAGATGGCTGGCAAGTTAGTGTTGGCTGCTGGCAGGAGCCCTTCTCTAGCGCTGGTTGAAGTCTTCATGGCATGGTGGCTGACTTCCTTCAAAGTATGTGATTCAGAAATGTGTAATGTGCAATACAGAAACCAAAATGTCTTTTATGACCTAACTTTGGAAGTCACACACTGTCAGTTTTTGCAATATCCTATTGGCTAAACAGGACAGCTCTATTCAGTGGGGGGGGGGTGTACAAAAACCATGAATACCATAAGGCAGTGATCATTGGAACTCATCTTGGAAGCTGGTTACCATAGGGATCTAGTGAGAAAACATCAAGTAAATTGAAATTATATCATAAGCCCACAGGTCCTGCCTCCACAAAGATAAGACAAATCTGTGATGTGAGTAAAAGGAAGCCTGGAGAGCAGTTATCCATCATGGAAGGAGACCTTCTGACCTTAGAATTCTCCTGGAAGCTGCTGGGCCCTGAGATAGAGTGGACCCTGGAATTGATGGATCTACAGCTTATCTTAACCCTTCTGCCCTGAGTGGACAAGCCCTGAATGACATCTCAGCCTTCAGAGATCAGCAGTCGCTGTATGACAATGGAGCATTTAACCCAGATGATGGAAAGGAGAGGTGAGGTGGCTCAGAGATGGACAGAGTTTAGGAGAGAAAAGCTGTACATTTAGGGGCAGAGCGAGTAAAAAGAGTTAGGAAATTTAGTACTCCTACCAAAGAAAGTTCACATGGATGTTATTGACTGCAGCATAGATATTTGTTTTTTACTTATTCACTTGACTATTATTTGATTTTTTTTAAATAACTATTTTAAACGTAATTTCTGTTTTTCTTACATTTAGATTTTTTTTAAAGGGCTGTTAAATATATAACCATAAACAAAATTTCCTACTCTATCCTTTCTCATCCCTTGATCCCAATCCCCAGAGGCAACCATTTTGAACATTTTGGTATTCAGCTCCACTTTCCTGAATAATATCCTCATACTGCTCATGCTTGATTTCTCAGTTTTAGATATTTCCTGTTGACTTTTGACAATGGAGATAAGGGTTTATCTGTTTTCTACCTAACCTTTTTCTTGTCTCCCTCATCCCACCCCTCCCCAACCCCTCTAATATGTGTTTTATTAGAGGTTGAAAGTTGACTAAATGTCGGGATCTGTATCTATTTTTGGGGGGGGGGCTTGTCAGTTTCCTAGATTTTGCTTGAGGAGTATAAGCCAGAACTGCTTTGGAAGGCAAACACAGTAGGAAATTGGGGGTTGGGAGGACACACCTCATCTTTCAATATTACAACTTTCACTTAATTCCCTTTTTTCTCTACATTGCTCCAACGCCTTACATTCAGTTCCTGTCCCACACTCCTGCCTGCAGAAGTACCTAGTGCCTTCATTCCTAAGCCTTTCAAGGGTTCTGCCATAGTTTCTCCACCCTTTCTCCACCCTCCCTTAAGCTTCCACTTTCTGTAGTTAAATTAGGTCACAGTCATCTGTCTAATCTCTAGCTTCCAAAATTTGTTGACATCTCTTATCTGCTGAAGTCATTCTCTATGAAACTCAACTTCCTTTGTTCCTTTACTTTCATTTCAGAGAACCGAAGTAAATGCAAATATTCATTCTTACATTTTTGACCTGAAGGCCATGAATTTTTTAGATTAAAAAATTAAGTTGCTTGAAAATATCATTAGAATCATGACTGCATTTTTTTCTCCTTTTTTTTGTTCTATGATTTTTAAAAAATTTTTTATTATGTTAATCACCATACATGACATCATTAGTTTTTGATGTAGTGTTCCATGATTCATTGTTTGTGTATAACACCCAGTGCTCCATGCAGAACGTGCCCTCTTTAATACCCATCACCAGGCTAACCCATCC